CAATCAAAGATTTACATAGGAATATGTAGGAAGAATCTTCTTCTCAAGAACAGCAAAGCCATGATTGGTCATATTCATATGGAAGTAAAATCAGGTAGTGTAGATTTAAATTTGTTCAAATCATGACCCCTGGGGTTAGGGTGGGGCCACAATGGATGGTCAAAGATTTACATAGGAATATATAGGAAAAATCTTCTTCTCAAGAACAACAAAGCTATAATTGGTCATATTTATATCCTCAGGTAGTGTAGAATCAAGTTTGTTCAAATCATGACCCCTGGAGGTAGGGCAGGGTCTCAATAAACAATCAAAGATTTACATGGGAGTACATAGTAAAAATCTGTAAAAATCTTCTCAAGAACCACTAAGCCATATATGGAAGCATCCTCGGGTAGTGTAGATTCAAGTTTTTTTCAAATTATGATCCCTGGGGGTAGGGTGGGACCACAATAGAAGATAAAACTTATAGGGAAAAAATCTTTTTAAAAACTTCTAAAGCCATGATTTGTCAAAGAAATATGTTAGCATCCTCAGTTAGTGTTGATTCAAGTTTGTTCTAATCATGCCCCCCTCCCTAGGGAATGGTTGATACCACTCATAAAATACAGAACTAGCCAAAGTGCTCAGGTGAGCAATGTGGCCCATGGGCCTGAAAATCTTCTTTTCAAGAACAACAAAACCACAATTAGACCTATTGATATGAAAGCATCCTTAGGTAGTTTAGAATCAAATTTGTTCAAAATCATGACCCCTTGGGCGTAGGATGGGTCCACAATTTGGGGTCATTGTTTTACATTGGATTATGTAAGAAAATACTTTTAAAAATCTTCTTCTCAAGAACAACAAAGCCATGATTAGTCATATTGATATGGAAGCATCCTTAGATAGTGTAGAATCAAATTTGTTCAAATCATGACCCATGGGGGTAGGGTGGGGCCACAATAGGGGATGACAGTTTTACATAGGAATATATAGGAAAAATCTTCTTCTCAAAAACAACAAAGATACAATTAGTTACATTGATATGGAAGCATCCTAAGGTAGTGTAGATTCAAGTTTGTTCAAATTATGACCCCAGGGGGTAAGTTGGGGCCACAAGGGGGGGGGGGGGTAAAGTTTTACATAGGAATATACAGGAAAAATCTTTTTAAATTGAATCTTCTTAAGAACAACAAAGCCACAATTAGACATATTGATATGGAGGCATCCTCAAGTAGTGTAGAATCAAATTTGTTCAAATCATGACTGGGGGGGGGGGGGATGGGGATCAAAGTTTTACATAGGAATATATAAATGATATAGGAAAAATCTTTAAAAATATCAAGAACAACAAATTAAGCCACGATGATATGGAGGCATCGTCTGGTAGTTTAGAATCAGATTTATTCAAATTATGACCCCGGGGGTTGGATGGGGCCACAATGGGGGATCGAAGTTTTACAAAGGAATATATAGGAAAAATCTTTAAAAATCTTCTCAAGAACAAAGCCATGATTAGTCATATTGATATGGAAGCATCCCCAGGTATTGTTGATTCAGGTTTGTTCAAGTCATCTTCCAGTATTAGGGTAAGGTCATGACGGGGGATCAAAGTTATACATGTGAACATATATAGGAAAAAATCTTTAAAAATCTTCTCATAAACAACAAAGCCATGATTATTCATATTGACATGAAAGCATCCCCAGGTAGTGTAGATTTAAGTTTTTTCGGGTTAGGGTGGCAGACATCATTAAAATTCTGTTTTCAAGAACAGCAAAACCATGATTAGGCATAAGAATATTGAAGTATCGTCAGATAGTGTAGATTTAATTTCGTTCTAAACTTGACCCCTTTAGGTAGGGTGTGGCTAGAACAGGCGATCAAAGCTTTACATATGAATATGTAGGAGAAAAAAACTGCTTATGAAGAATAGAAGGGCCATATTGACTCAGGTGAGCGATGTGGCCCATGGGCCTCTTGTAAATTTACATTATTTTTAATTCTCTGAATATATAAAATTTGCAAAATTTCTCTGTTTTGGATTACTAAACGATAACACGTTTAATAAAATTATACATCTGGTACATTTTCCCGTTTATCAACTTGAAACCAAATGCTTTTATGACCAGAAATTATTGTCTCTGAATTACAAGAAAAAATTTCTAATAGAGATAGTGGGGTGTAATTGTTTTTTTTTTACTTGATACAAATGAGCTTTTGCGGTTTTGTCATAATATGCTCTTGGTCATCTTGAAAGTAAATAATCTTTTCTTCATTGACATGAAAATAATCTAGCTGATACGAAAAAATTGCCCCCCCCCCTCTCCACACCAAACTAAAACGTCCGAATCGGAAATGGGAGGGGGTGGTTTAGGACAAGTCACTTCCTTAGTCAAATTTCTTTAGATATACGGCTTTTTTTTACCTTGTTACAAGGGTTCCGTGTTTCCTGCAGGAGCGGGGTGTCTAACCTATCCGTGCATGGAAGCATTTATAAACAATAATATCAATAATAGATGATAAACAAAGAGTTATTATCACTATAATTATACTTATAAATTCAAAGATTAACATAAATTTTAAATTTTAATTATACAATAATTAAAGTGAAAACTGCACTAGTATATATACTAATTGTACTAGAGAAACAGGTGACATACACATTGTTTATAAGTAAAATTTTCAATTAAATGTTCACTTGGCTTAATAAAAGAGCAAAAGTAGGAACTTCACTAAAAAAAATCAAGTATGTATTATATAATAGGCATATGTTGTTGAGCAGTACTAAATTTGAAAATATATTCTATAGATCTTAGCTAAAAACTCTTCTGTATAATTGTTATTAAGCTAACAATCTTAGGAAATGCACGTCATCCATGACTGTAGAAACCGGGAAGGGGGAGGGACATGCCTTCACCCCCAATACTTTCCCCGTTCAGTGAGCTCAGGTGGTAGTTATAGTAATACAAGCGCGGATCCAGGATTTTTTTTTCAGGGGGAGTCTACCCCAGTCGAAAAAAATTCCAACCCAGAAATTTCTTGACAAGCAAAAAAAAGCTATATATGATTATGGAATTCCACATACGACAGCCAACTGCTTACTGCCAACTGCTCACTGCCAACTGCTACTGCCTATAGATGATATTGTCTATATTTTGATATCTTAAGGAAGCTCTGAACACTGCACACTAAAGAGTTCTACTTAGGATACTTTAATGGAGTTAGAGTGATCTGCCCTTAGAAGTAAGATAGAAAAAATGGTTGTTTACAGTTAATTACATAATTTTTAATAGATTAAAATATTCTTAGCATTATTTTAGACCAAGAATAAGTAATTGAATTCACCATTTCCATTAATTTTCCCAGTGTAAGTAAACAGACAGTGATTTCTGCTTACGAATAGTCCTTTGTCTTTGAACATTTTTCCTGCAGAAATAAGGTAGGTACCCTATGTTGAAAATGAATTAAATAGTCTCAATATGCACACCTTTATATGATATATTTTTCTCCAAGTCCAAAAAGCACTTTTTATTAGTGTTTAGAGCTTCCTTAATATCTTTAATATGCATGCTTGAATAAAGCCTTTGAACATATTTGAATGATTTTTTGATATTTATGTAAACATTTATGTGAATTTTCATAAAACATAACTTATTTGGAAAAGCGAAGAGAGTTAAGTCTATAATTTTAGTAAAACTTGTGTTTATCACTATACAAATGAAAGGAAAACGGCTATTTATTTTCATACCCCCCCCCCCCCTTGCGAAACAACAATTTCTTTTTACAGGTATTACATGTATTATGAATTGTTATTTCACAAATTCATACCAAAGGTTTACATGCAGACAACAGCAATAAAAATAGTTGCGTGTATTTTATTACCAATTTCAAATGAGATAACTAGTAAAAATGTACTTTATCTATCTGATGTGTTGAATTTTACATAAGTGAAACATTAATAGTCATTTTTCCATTTCCATGAGAATTTGAAAATCTGGTGATGTTTTGAAGCCTTATTTCAATTGATAAAATTTTCTAACCCCCCCCCCCCCCATGAAAGGAGTTGTCAATAATTAAGAGCAATTAACTCTTTGACACTGGTTTTAAAATTATTAATCGATTACTAATGAACTTTTCTTTGCATTCAAACAAGTTTTAATGGCAAAATTCCCATTGGGGGTTACATACGACAAAAGAACAAACCTTTAATAGGGTCTTAATGATTAACATTTGTTGGTATATACACGTATGTATACTAGAAATATTACTGAAAATTATAATAACATAACTTTTGCCTAGGGTAAAATATCTAGCAATATTCTTGCTATCATAAGGTTTATTCAAGCAGGCGTATCAAAGACATAAAAAGATAACAAAACAGGCAATATCATCTATGAACAGTGGCAGTTGACATTAAGCAGTGAGCAGTTGGCAGTAAGCAGTTGGCAGTATAAGCAGTTGGTTATCAAACTGGGCATAATTTTTAAAATAAGAAACAGTGAATTATATAATGTTAAAAAATTATATAATGTTAAAAAGACCCAAATAAATGCAAAAGAGTAATAATATTAATACTCTAGAACAAATATACATGTTACAAATTCTTTGTACGTATGCAAATTATATATGTTTTTTTTTTAAGCATTTAATATAGGTAATCCCCATCTGCTATAATCATCATCATTTGTTAGTTTCTTTTCTTTTAATATCGACATATTTTGAATTTCTCTTCTTGTGTGTATTTTTTTTTACTTGTATGCCCTGAGGCCCCCAAATTGGTATCAATAAATCTTATCTATCTTATCTGTAAGAAGTTGGCTGTCGTATATGGAATTCCATAAAAGGGAAATATCGGGAACCAAGTGTCTGTGCATATACTTCTAAAATGTTGTTGTAAAATGTGTATCATTATCAATCAGTTTTCTTGCATCTAAGCCTAACTAAAATGATATGCGTGTACTTGAGGGAAATCAGAAACTGATAACATCGGGTTCGGCGTCATTGTTATCAAATTTTACTTTCGTTTTCAAAAGTTCCAGTCTGAAGAAGTCAACCTCAGAATAGAAGGTGGAAATAATTTGAGAGGAGGTGAAGGAAATTTGAGATAACTTTTACTTTCAAAAGATTGACAAATCAATAGTAACTCTTATTTGTCAGGTAGTACAAACTTCATTTAGCAGTTTAGGTATATAACACTGTAACAGGAAACAGAAGAAAAACAGAAGCCTAAGTGGCCTAACCCGGGCTCTCTGAATCTCCAGTCATGCTCTACCAACTGAGCTATCTTACCACCGGCGCTCGAATTGGTCAGCCCGCCACAAGAGATTGATTCCTTAAAAGATCCTTAACTTCTTTGGGATCGCTCCCATAAACTGTAGGGTTATAGAAAAACTTGCATAGCAAAACTTGTTGCATTCAATCTATATTTATTGGGTCTCATCATGGATTCTTAAAATTATCCTTTTTGGTACATGTAAGGGGCTATAAAAGGAGGAAATTCATTTATTTCATTTTAAATGCATTTTGAGAAATGTATTGCTACTTGGACTGACCTATATGGTATGTTAATTCTGTGTGTATTTGAATTGACAGAAGTAAAAAATAATCAGTACACATAACCTGAAATTTAGCAAACTAGGACTAGAACTTGCATTTGGACATTCAGTTTACTTACATTTACTGACATTATTCAGTGTTGTGGTTAATGTTTGAAACCTTAGGGACCATGTGGGCTCCTAACTTTTCAAATTTTACAGGCTCACAATGTGATCCGCGGGCCCACATTATATGTAAATTAAAAAAAACAACAACAAAAATCCTAAATTTTTTAATTGAATTTTTTATTATTCGTAGTATGGATATGTTCGCAGTATATGAATTTTTGTCACATTTTCTCCTTTCTAAAAACTTTGATTTGATAATGTGTTCATTACATTTTGTAGTGTTTAACCTTGTACAACTGAAGCGTCTATGGTTTAACAAGGGGGCATATTAAATAATAAATTACATACAACCTGTGATGAAATTTGATTCCGATCTTTTATTAATTGTGTGCATTTGACACGGTGTGACAACCATAGCCGATTGTTACAATATTTCTATTAGAACAATCTCAAACATCTGCTATCATATCATCAGATTGAACGGAAATTTAACCGCTTCGATAAATCGCCATGTTTGATCTGAATCATGTACATGTTTGAATAATTTGCTTGTATGCAACACAAATAATCTAGGTCAATAGAGCGTTTTCTTAAAAACTGAAAGAACATAAAATATAAAACTGAAATGTGATTATGTTACAGAAAAAAAAATCGTTCGCCATGTGGGCGACTAGATTTTTAATATCTAATCGCCCACCGCAAATTTTACTCGCATTTGCGAGTGGTTATCCACAACCCTGTTATTGGGGAAAAACCTTGGTACCAATTCCAAGGATTCAATAAGTGTTTCTAATTTCAAACATGTCAAATCATTATCTTCTGATTGATTTCAAAACATAAAATACCACTTTGATCATAAAATTCATTGTTTACTGATTTTTCTTTCAATTTTATAAATGGGATATAATAACCTTCTGGGATATAAATTTGCAGTGCAAAAAAATAATTTTTTGGGGGAGCATAAATATTGTTAATCCATATAAATCACAAGCAATGAAGGAAATATTAGTCAATATGTGTTTTCTGGCAAAATTCAAACTACCATAGGTATAGCAGTGTTCATCATTATTCCTCATTTATGTGCAACGTTGAATGCAGAAATATTTTAACAATTCATTTTTTATTCAAAAGTTGAGTTTTTTAAAATATAATTAATTGTTATGCTTTTACTTCGTTTTGAAACATTTCATTTATATGGGACATTCTATCTTGTGCTCAGGAATGCACTGTAGAAAACTGAAAATATGAATACATTGTATAAGAGGTGGTACATACAAACTCAATTGTAATTTGATTTGTAAATTTTTTGAGTTCTTGTGTTAAATTGTAGAATGGGTGGATCTGATGACACAGAATGGAGGTTTGGGACTTGTTTTCAATCATTTTGTCACAATTATGAGCTGGAACAGAAGTGGCAGTCAGCCAAGGACTACAGTTATGAAAATCCTGGATCCACCCTCTTCATCATAGCAGTCATAGCCATGTGTAGCTTCCCCATCTTTTGCTTTATAGCCTTTGTCATTGGATCACTTATCATTGGATTCACAGTTTTTCTGTTTGTAGAAGGTAACACATGCATATATTGTATCAATTATGAATTTCCACAAAATGTCTTCAGTTTGACATGAAGATATAAAATGTAATGTGATTGATATGGTGTACAAACATTTGCTCAGAATTCCACTTAAAAGTCTAACAAGACTTATTAAGAAGAGCATCAGTATTGTTGGTTGAAATCATTTACTGTTCTGGTCCTAAATGTTTCTGTAGATGCTACATGCTTTAAAAATAATGGCAGACAAGGCTTTGCATTTAAGAAAATTCTAAGGCACTGTGAAATAATGTTATCAATAAAGCAAAACACACCTTAAGAAATTCTTATTATGCCCCCGCCATATAGTGTTACCCTGTTCCGTCATTCTATCATCATTCTTTTTACGTTAATTATCTCTGCAGCAGTTGCACACATTCAACTCAAATTTGAAATATGGATATGTCATAAGAATATGCAGGTCAAGTTTGGATTTGGTCATGGTCCGATGATTTTTGACAGAATTATCCCTCTTGAACTTAGAAAAAAATAAGAAATTTTCAGTTTCCGCTCTCTAACTTTTGAAGGGATGTATGTATAAGGTTGAAATTTCATATGCAGGTATTTTACCAGAAAATACAGGTGAATTCGAATTTGATCATGGTCTGATAATTTTTGACAGAGTTATCCCTCTTGAACTTGGAAAAAAAATAAGAAATTTGTAGTTTCCGCTCTCTAACTTTTGTAGGGATGTATGTATAAGGTTGAAATTGCATGTGCAGGTATTTTATAAGAAAATACAGGTCAAGTTCAAATTTGGTTATGGTTCGATGATTTTTGACAGAGTTATCCCTCTTGAACTTAGGGGGAAAAAAGAAATTTTCAGTTTCCCCTCTCTAACTTTTGTAGGGATGTATGTATAAGGTTGAAATTGCATGTGCAGGTATTTTACCAGAAAATACAGGACAAGTTCAAATTTGGTCTTGGTCCAATGATTTTTGACAGAGTTACTCCTCTTAAACTTAGAAAAAAATAAGAAATTTTCAGTTTCTGCTCTCTAACTTTTGAAGGGATGTACAGTACAGGCAACGCGGATCCCGTATTTCCCGCGCCCCGTCGCGGTATAAACACAACGCGGGATTTGGCCAGGTGAGACAGGTAAACCGCGTTCCCTCCGCGGGAAATTCATCACCTACCTGTCCCCGCCGCGGTTAAATCATCGATCAACTAGTATCGTAAACAAACGGGAGTTATCTCCCCGAACGAGAATTTGCGAAATTTTCATGTAGTAACAAAGAATAACTACAGAGTATGTTTATTTATGAAAGTATTTTCCTTTGTTTTGCAACGATGAATAGAAAATAATAAACATACTCCTAAAAAGAATTTGTAAAGCAGAAGATATTATAAACTTTTTTAGATTTGTATTTAAAACTATTTGCATGTATCAATGCTAAGGCGACATCTTTCGTTTAAATAGAATTATAAGCTGTGTTATTTGAAATTTTAGCATGAAACAAAATTAAATGATGGGTTTATTAGCTCTAAAAAATCTTTTCAAATTATATGCGAATTGCAATAATGATGTACACGTGCTAAACAATAATCAGTGCGAGTTCCGATTAACAATTTTCAACACTCCTATGAAATAAAAAAGGTGCATCTTTATATTGTTTATGTTTTTGTATTTTTACCAAATTTAGAACACTATAATTCACTAAATTAATCTCGCTTTATTGTACGAATGTGCAAGCATTTTTCTGAAAATGTCAAATTACTGGAAAGCTGTAATATTCGAAGTCGAGAGTTTGCAATTAGTGGGCACGTAAACGGTATACAAGCTATCAATAAAAAAAAAACTATCATCCTTTCTTCACCTTGATATTTAATTCTTTGGTAAACGATGATTTTTTTAAAAAAAAAAAAAAAAAAAAAAAAAAAAAAAAAAAATTATTTCTCCATTTACATGTTCAATAAAATAACATAGGATGTGCATGCATGGTGATGAACTCCAGAGAACAAATATAAAGAAGGGAGATATTTTACACTCACAACACTTTTATTTTCAATAATATTCAAGGAAAAAATCAAATGCTAACGTATACTTTGACAAATTTTGTTTCTTTGTGTATTAAGTATTAGCCGCGATCATTTCCTGTGTATAGGGATTAGCAGACCCAGAGCAGGAAACGGCATGCCCTGGGGGTTTCACACCTGTGAGTGTCCTAGGGTACCTGAGGTAAATCTCTCCGAATGCGCACATCGTTGTCTAGCCATACGACATACCAGTCCATTCAATGTCTCATTATTTCTTTATTTTCAACCAAGAAATTTGAGACAATATATTCACAGTTGCTTTTTTTTTAACCCTAACTGTGTGTATATTAAAAATCAAACTTTTTACACAAATTAATAGAGTTGAAAAAATAAAATAAATCAAATCAAATTATGTTTTATAAGTACATGTATTTTGTTTACGTCTCAGTTTATACGTTTATACATGTACCTGTACATGTAAGTATAATTTGAATTAGTTTCAACCAAAAAAAGAGAGAGAGAGAGAGAGAGAGAGAGAGAGAGAGAGAGAGAGAGAGAGAGAGAGAAACATACAGAAAGTTACATGTACGGCACGTGCATCGTTTTTCCTGAAATCAGTTTATTGATTTATCGATTTATAATTATAATTTAAATGAAATTGCTTGTGAATCAAATTTTGTTCGGTTTCAAAATAGTCGTTTCTGTGAACGGATAGGTATTACTGTAGCTGATTTATCGGTTTATTGACCAGTAAGCACTTTGTCTAATTCTGCCAGTTAATGAAGAACACGGGAACAGTGATAGCCACAGACACTAATTTAACTAAACTAACTGCTTGATAAAAGATTGATTCCAAGACACTTATTTACAAGGTCGCCAACATTCTTCATGATGTAAGATTACGCAATCTGACAGTATTACAGGTATTTCGTAAGGGTATGGGCCAGTTACACAGACACCTGAAAACTTGTAGCCTACCGCTGATTATAATTAGTTCATCTACTATGCTGTATGTTCAAATTATTTTTTAGGCTCATATAAACAGCTTATAAAAGAGCCGTCCTTTCTGATTTGACGATACATGTACGTGAAATTTGTTGAAGAGCCGCATGATTATATTAATTTCAAAAGAAAGGAAATAGAAATACAGTCAAATACTAGCTATGAAATTATTCTGAAAAGAATGTAACGATTTTATTTACAACAATAACCAAAAAAAAAAAAAAAGATCATGTTGATATTTCTTCCGTTTAGCGCATATTTGTCAGAAGTTAATTGTGCAACATATTCCTAAATGTACACGTGTTTATTCTTTAATATCATAATGTTACCATCTCTATCTAGCATCGTTTTTCATGCTTATACTTATAACAGATACGTATACAGAGGCATTTTTTCTTCAAGAAACCAATGACCGTGATAGAATCTCGCAGAAAAATAAACGCATAGCTACATGTAACCAAGAACACACTGGCACTGGCAAATCGTGAACACTGTATTTAATGCATTTTAACAGAAATGATATGGCATTTTTAAAAAATCTATTTTACTGTGCACTATTTAGCAATTTCATGATCATTTATGTTGGAATTATTGATTTTAAAAAATATATACGATATTTCAGTTGACGATATTTCATCAAATTTTACCACAAGCACTGGCATTATACGTTCTTTTTTTAAATTTGAGAATTAATTAATTTTGAATGACTTTTAAAAAAAGATAGATAAAAAATAATTACACAAGTATTATTATACAATTTGATAATACTTAAAAATTGAATTAAAAATTCATTTAATTAATGCAGGCCGTAACCTTTAATGGCTTACACCCCCCCCCCCTTTTTGACGCTATTAAAAATCGACAACACTTTACAGGAAACAACATCTAAGATAAAGAATAACGGTAGCTGGCCCCGCCGCGGTGTACACACGGTCGCAGGTAGTACCGCGATCAAAACCCGCGACGGTGTAACGCGGAAAGGATTAACACACCGCCGAGGGAACGCGGTCTAATACGGGATCCGCGTTGCCTGTACTGTATGTAAAAGGTTAAAATTGCATGAGCAGGTATTTTACTAGTAAATACAGGTCAAATTCGAATTTGGTCATGGTCCAATGATTTTTGACAGAGATATCTGTCTTGAACTTAGAAAAAATAAGAAATTTTCAGTTTCTGTTCTCTAATTTTTGAAGGGATGTATATAAAAGTTTGAAAATGCATATGGGTGAATTAAAAAAAAATGACCACCAAACTGAATTTTTTTGGCAAAATTCAACTACTTATAACATATTTTTCACTTATATCATCATATTGCAAATGCATTCTAATTTAAAATCCTGAAGTGGCAATAGAATAGACAATTGGATTAAAAGGTTTCAGAATTTTTATTTGTAAAATTTCTTTTGAAAAAAGAAAATATCATTACACCTTAAAAGACTTTCTGAAATATATAATCACAAGAAATTATAGTTTTTTATGCTTCAAAATGGTAAAAGGGGTATAAATGATTAAATCTAGACCTTGAATGAATATCTTCTCTTGTACATGCGATAAAAAATTGGCTTTTTGATTGTTATTTTACATTATTTTTTCAATTCTGGTTTGAAAAGTTTTAATATGAAAAAAATATGAAGCAATAAAATTCCCCAAAATTCTTTTTTTTGTCCGTTCAAGTCAATTCTTTAAATGTGAGCCAAAAAAGAATTGTTATATACGAGTTCTCTTTCGAAAAGTTCTAGATTTTGAAGTGACCCTATGTTACATTATTGTGTTGCACTCCTGACATCTGATATGTATTTTATTTAACATTGTTTTAAAAATTATAACACACAATAACCCATTCTTACTTTGTAAATCAATTTGTCGTATTGATATTTTTCATCGTTTACAGCAGGTTTTTCATATTTTGAAGACCTTAAAACATGATTGTTTGCAAAGTGTAATATATATAAATTGTATTTAAAATATATGTGAAATGATGAAAACTATTCTCTGAATTGACTGTAAAATTTCTGTAATTTGTTGATAGACATAGTGTTTTGAACATCAAATAGTATCAAGCATTTTTTTTCAACTTAATTTTTAGTAAAGATAGTTAAAAAGCATCGGTAATTATGAAGCAGTTTTGTTGCACTCCTGACTGCAGTAAAGTTTAAAATTAAAACCATAGAACCCAAAAATTCATAAAGTGTTGGCAACATCAAGTGGTAATGAAATTGTGCAATACTTATAGTCCAATACTTCATAATTAAAACAGATGAAAGTATTTAAAATTCGCATTTTGTCTGCAATTATACCCTATTTTATGCCAAAAAACTAGCTTAAATGTATATTTAGAAGATAAAATATATTTTAAAGCATATTTTCCTTTAGAAGACAAACACAGTAATTCTACTCATCATTTTTTCTTTATTTTTATTCTTATTGGATGATTTATAATTCTAACATATTTGTTGCACTCCTGACCAAAAGCATTGGAGCCTTTAAAGTAGAATTGTGAAGTGAAAATTACATAATAACTTGTTCTGTTGTTTCAGTGAAGTTAAGGAGGAATTACTTGAATTTTATGACAATGTTTTAGTGTGTTTATTTTTAACGTTCATTAAAAAAATCACAAAAAAGATAAAAACACATCTGAATTGATAAAATTGAAAAAGGAAGGATTTAAATAATAAAACTGTCAATAATTTAGCATTAAATTATTCAAAAAGATCATTATTAATTAATGAATACTTCTAAGCATGAATAGAAGTCTTTTCGTCACACAACTTGAATCTTTAAAAAAATGTGTTGCACTCCTGACCATAGAAATATGGATCTGAAGGACAGACAGATCCTGTAATTGATAAATCTATATGGTAAAAATGTTCTTTGTGTCTTTATTTTCCAAAATAAAAATCAGAAAATCATATAACAATAATAGTTTTTTTATGCTTGGGAGCAAAACATCAAATGTTGCACTCCTGACATTTTTGGGTATGCACATATACTTGACTCTCATTAATGCTGCTTGTGATTTATATAACATTTTTAAGTTTTAAAATGTATATCAGTTATTATTTTACACTTGGAAAATTCTTTTTTGTCTTAATTTTCTATCAGAATTTTACAATTGATGTTTTTTTGGCAACACTACATTTTTTCTGTTGCACTCCTGACATGGTATAACATTTTTTTAAACATCAGCCATGACCACAATCTGATTAAACAAAAGTTATGACAGTCCACATTTAAAGCTCAATACTTTGAATATTATCAGGAAAGTCTTTATTTTCAACTTAAAGCATTATTATTTATTTCACAGATCTCCAAAAAATACTGAAATTTCAAAATGTCACAGAAAGGTGTTGCACTCCTGACAATTTTAGCATCATTTTTGGGCATAACTTTTTTGTTAATTGAGATATCAATGAGATATTTGGCAGGTATTTAGACACTATCTAAACACATATGCTGAGACATAGATATCTATTTTCATTGCCTGTATTTTTAGTGTGGGTTGATAAATATGCGTTTGGTCATTTTTTTTTAATTCACCCATATGCAGGTATTTTACCAGAAAATACGGGTCAAGTTTGAATACAAATTTAAAACTAAATCATTGCATTTGAAATTGATGCTTGGGGAGGAGGGGAGGGGGGGCATTCGTGGCGTTAATGGACACATCTAGTTGTTATTACATCAAGCCATTTTTGCTTTAAATACAAGCATTGCTTAAGAAAGTTTGTGTCTACCATTATCCCTGTTTGTTTGCCACACTTTATTTGATGTTTCCACCTATAATTTCTTTGAGGTAGGAAAAAAATTCTTTTTGCTATTTCATTGGACAAGTTGTGTAGGTATGTAGTAGGGTATAATGATCAGGCCTTTCAAAATCTGCCGGTACCTGTTACTTTAACCCGGCTAAAACCATGATTGTACTGGCCAAAATATTTGATGGAGAAAATTTTGATAACATACCAGTATTAATTAAATTCACTTTCACAGGTACCTCCCATCATTGTATAAGTACCGCCTTTTTTTCTAATCTTTTTTGAAAGTCCTGAATGCTGTTGGGGTGGCTAGGGGCCTAAGAGTTAGTGGATTGAATGATTACCAGTAGCTAGACATCCCATGGGAACTTGAAATTTTCCAAGGGGGTGGGGGTGGGGGCTCTATGGCTTTATGGCTCCCCAGCTACTGAAAAAGGTGTGTTCCTAACTTTGCATGAAATTGTTGTAGAACATATAGAATTACCTGTGTATTTGATATTTAACATAACATTAAAATACTCCTTTCTCCACAGGTACAGTCCTCACGGTGGCCACCTTTCTTTTGGGAGGGGCACTATTTTTTGCCAGTCTCTTCTCTGTGGGCTTCAGTTTGTTTGCTGTTTTAGCCATCTACACCTTTTCCACTGCTCAGAAAATAATGGGCAAAATTTCACCAAAGGTCTCCACTTCTGCAGGGGTGGAGTGTGATTCAACACAGAAAGATAAATAGAGAATGTGTCAACAAACTACGCAAAAGTCTTTAAATGACAGAAATCAAGATAATGAAATTTTTTCTCAAAAGAACCGGTGCTGAGAATTTTGAAAAAAATCAAATTGCTTCTGTGTTGTTTTTTCACTGATCAATACTTTGATTAAAATTCCAGATTATATCATTCAAGTAGTAAAAAACAATGCAATTTCACTTGAACCAAGAATCATTTTTCATTGAGATTTGAGACTGTATGCAGCTCGAGGGTTTAAATCTGTACAGATTCATGTTTTACGTTATTTGACATTGTTTATTTATTGTTATTTAAATATTGGGCATAATTAATGTTTTATAAATAACTGTTTTGTATATTGTTTGTTAAACTTTAATCATGAACATTTTGTATATAGTTTTTATATAAAATAAATTGATCAGTATTGAACAACTTTACTCATATTATTTTTAGCTCACCTGAACCGAAGGCTCAAGTGAGCTTTTCTTATCAAAATTTGTCCGTTGTCGTTGTTGGCGTTGTCGTCGGCCTTGTCGTAAACTTCACATTTTCATCTTCTTCTCAAGAACCACTAGGTCAATTTCAGCTAAACTTGCCACAAAGCATCCTTGGGTGAAGGGGATTCAAGTTGTTCACAGGAAGTGCTGCGCCCTCTTTCAAGGGGAGATAATTAAGAATTCGTGAAAATTTGGTGGCATCATTTAAAAATCTTCTTCTCAAGAACCACTGGGCAAGAAAAGATGAAACTTATGTGAAAGCTTCATTACATACTCTAGATTCAAATTTATTCATATTATAACCCCCAGGGGTAGGGCGGGGCCACAACAGGGGGGTCAGTTTTAACATAGGAATATATAAGAAATATCTTTAAAAATCTTCTTCTCAAGAACAGCAAAGCCATGATTAGTCATATTATTACAGAAGTATCCTCAGGTAGTGTAGATTCAAGTTTGTTCCAACCATGACCCCTGGGGGTGGGGCAGGGCCACAACAGGGGGGTCAAAGTTTACCATAGGAATATATAGGTAATATCTTTAAAAATCTTCTTCTCAAGAACAGCTAAGCCATGATTAATCATATTGATATGGAAGCATCCTCAGATAGTGTAGATTCAAGTTCAAATCATGACCCCTCCTCCTCCCCCCTGGGTAGGGTGGCAGACATATTAATACAGAAGTATCCTCAGGTAGTGAAGATTAAAGTCCCAATCATGACCCCTGGGGGTAGGGCAGGGCCACAGCTGGGGGGGGGGGTCAATGTTTACCATAGGAATATATAGGAAATATCTTTAAAATTCTTCTTTTCAAGAACAGCTAAGCCATTATTAGACATATTAATACAGAAGTATCCTCAGGTAGTGTAGATTAAAGTTTGTTCAAATCATGACCCGGTAAAGTCAGTCATTCAAAAGGTAGCTGAAGAAGTTGGATGATGAATCAGCAATAAAAAAGTTAAGGTATTCCATCCTAATAGCAAAGATTCAATGAAATTGAAAACATAACAGATGTGTAGGTGTTGAATACTTAGTTTATTTAGACATAATTCCCATTACTATTAGCATGTAAGGGTGGGATATGTCCTAATTTATTACCTTGAATTTTCATAAGAGTTATCTCCCTCTGTTTTTAATTAATTAAAAAAAAAAATCAATTTTAAAAATCTTACCTGGTAAAAAAATCATTTTCAATTGTCATTCTATTTCTAATGTTTTTTAGTGCATTTTTTCACTACAGTATTTATTGATATTATTATTTGAATTTTTATTTTTAAAAAATTGCTCCATAGACTTTAATGCAATTTTGTTAAGTACTTAAGTTCTGGGCGTAGTTAATCTGAAGAAGATTGGGACAACTGGTTCTTATCTATCAATGGGAACCTAGGGAGAAACACGGTGCAAGTGGTACCTTACCCATGCAGTCCCCATCTCTAGAAGAAAGAGAAAATTTAAGTACTATGTGATATACCCTCAGACATAGCTGTCTGAATAATCATTCCAATCATTAACTCAGACAGAGTACAAGGAAATCCTATATTTCCCTTGTAAGAAACTGATCATACATGTTACATAGGAAATATCTTTGAAATCTTCTTCTCAAGAACAACTAAGCCGTATTAGTCCTATATATACGAAAGCAACCTTAGGTACTATAGAATCAAAGTTTGTTCAAATCATGACCCCCAGGGGTTGGGGCACAACAGAGGGTCAAAGTTTTGCGTAAGAATATATAGGAAGCATCTTGAAAAAATCTGCTACTCAAGAACAGCAAAGCCATGATTAGTCATATTATTATAGGAGCATCCACAGATAGTATAGATTCAAATTTGTTCAAATTTACAGTGGGTAGGGTAGAGCCACAATGACCAATCAGAGTTTTACATAGGAATACATAGGGAAAAAAAATCTTTAAAATTCTTTTGTTTAAAGAGACACTGATGGACAAATGGGAAAATTGACAAAAGTAGATTTTTGGCAAGTCACATGCAAATTTTATTCAATTCTTGAAAGTATTAGGTTTCAGAAAATTACAGGTTTCAGAACCTAAAAGATCTACTTTTATGGAGAAAAATATAAGTAAAAATAATTTTAATTTGCCCCAACATGAAAATATTGCTTCACTTCTTCCTCTTTAAGGTACGCATGCGCTGAAAAGTTGAAGAAGTTACCATGGTGCCAATTCCATAGATATAAATGTCGGATGACTGAGGATTTTGATATAATCTTCAAACAAGAGGCCCAAGGGCCTTAACAGTCACCTGAGTATAAAACAACAATCCACAGAGGATCCATGAAATATAAATTTGAAAGCTGCAAAAAAAAAACAAACAAACAAACAAACAAACAAAAAACAAAACAAAACAAAAAAAAAAACAGATTATACAATATAAATTAATTTTTCATCCAATAAAATGATGTGTTACAACCAAAATTAAATTATATTAAAATGACTTATCATGGTTTTGTTGTTTTTGAGAAGATTTTTAAATGATCTTTCCTATATTCCTAAATAAAAAACTTTGATCATCTGTTGTGCCCCCTCCCTACCCCAGGGGGTCAAGATATGAACAAATTTGAATTAACATTACACAAAGATGCTTCCTTATAAATAAGACAAATCATGGCTTTGCTATTCTGGAGAAGAAGATTGTTAAAGATTTTTCATATGTATTCATGTGTAAATCTTTTATCATCCATTGTGGCCCCACTCTATCCCCAGAGTCATGATTTGAACTAACTTGAATCTTTACTATCTGAGGATGCTTCCATATAAATATAACCAATCATGGTTTTGCTATTTTTGAGAAAAGAATTTTTTCAAGAGTTTTCCTACGTATTCCAATGTAAACCTTTCATTGTCCATTGTGACCCTACCCTACCCCCAGGGATCATGATTTTAAAAAATTAACTTGAATCTACACTACCTGAAGATGTTTCAACATAAGTTTCATCTTTCTTGGCCTAGTAGTTCTGGATAAGAAGATTTTTCCAAAGTATTTCCATGTAAAATTTTGATCATTCATTGTGGCCTCGCCCTACCCCAGGGGGTCATGATTTGAACAAACTTGAATCTACATGACCTGAGGATGTTTGCACACAAGTTTCATCTGTCTTGGCCCAGTGATTCTGGAGAATAAGACTTTTAAAGATTTTTCCTATGAATTCTTATGTAAAACTTTGATCGTCCATTGTGGCCCCACCCTACCCCCCGGGGTCATGATTTGAACAAACTTGAATCTACATGACCTGAGGATGTTTGCACATAAGTTTCATCTTTCTTGGCCCAGTGGTTCTGGAGAAGAAGATTTTTAAAGATTTTTCCTATGTATTCTTATGTAAAACTTTGATCGTCCATTGTGGCCCCACCCTACCCCCCGGGGTCATGATTTGAACAAACTTGAATCTACATGACCTGAGGATGTTTGCACATAAGTTTCATCTTTCTTGGCCCAGTGGTTCTGGAGAAGAAGATTTTTAAAGATTTTTCCTATGTATTCCTATGTAAAAGTTTGATCGTCCATTGTGGCCCCACCCTACCCCCCCCCCCCCCCCCCCCCCCGGGGTCATGATTTGAACAAACTTGAATCTACACTATCTGAGGATTTTCCCATATAAGTTTCATCTTTCTTGGCTTAGTGGTTCTTGAGAAGAAGATTTTTAAAAGATGACATTAATTTTTCACTAATTCTTAATTATCTCCCCTTGGAAAAAGGCTTGGCCCTTCATTTGAACAAATTTGAATCACCGTTACCCATGGATACTTTGTGGCAAATTTGGTTGAAATTGGCCCAGTGGTTCTTGAGAAGAAGTCGAAAATGTGAAAAGTTTATGCATGACGCAAACCCACACGATGCACACCCCCTCAACCGCACGACGATGGACGAAAACAGATAGCAATAGGTCACCTGAGTGACTCAGGTGACCCAAAAAAGATGATCAGAACTTATTCCTCACTTTTGATTGCTCTAATTCAATTATGTTTATAAGTTTCATGCTAAAAAAAGACACATGACCTTGACATTGTTGATAAACCACGTCATAGATACAACTTTTCTTTTTCCGGCACTTACATTTTGCAGTCTTTTCTTGCTTTTACGGTGCAGTTGAGATCTTAAAACGTCATATTTCTCATGAATCTTTAGCTTTATGATATAATTATTTTAAAAGAAACACATAATATTGACTTACTATGTAACTTTAAGAACAGCAAAGTCATGATTAGTAATATTGATATAGAAGCATCCTGAGGTAGTGTAAATTTAAGTTTGCCCCCCCCCCCCAAAAAAAAACTTATCAATTTACTGAAATGATTTCTGCTTCTTCTTAGCCAGTGTGCTCAGGTGAGCGATGAGGCCCATGGGCCTCTTGTTACATGTAGTAACATTGTCGATTAATCAGCTTTCATTTTTGGAATAGCTGGTGTGATATAACTGCAGACCACTAGTATACAGAGTAAAATATAAATATTGAGTGCACATCACGTGTTGGATTTATGATCACAAGAAACCAACAGATCAGAATCTTCAGCATTATGCAAATCTTTGTCATTTATGAGAGCCTACGATTTGCACACAGTGACCATCTTCCCCCTATTAACAGCCATATTTATTTTCCAGGAGCACAAGAATGCTTAGAAACACCATCACTGCAGAGTCATTCTAGACACATATATGATATATTTACCAATACCAACAAATGTCAAGTTCATTTTTATTTGCGATTCATGTATCTTTGAAACAAAGATGCTTGGCGAAGACTTAAAAAAGAAAACATTTGTATTTTAAACAGTGAATTACTTTTTTTCTTTTGTTTCATAAAAATACACTTATGCATACTAATGCTACATGGCTGCTACAACATTTTTGATCAACTTCAGGGAATCATTTAGTTTCATGTAACTTGCCATTTCATGCAGAGACCACAAGATTTACATGTACACGTGGTATTATCAAAAGATTTACTGATGTGATTCATTCATGAATTTAAATCCACCTGTGACTTTGAGCATGCCGTAATTTTTTAGAAAGGAATGGAGAGCTGCAAATCACATGAAGAACACAGTTTTTATATCATGTAAAACTTCTCTCCCGTGCCTCTTTTTGCTAAGCTTGTACTAACTTGGAAAATGTAAAATGTTACATCTTAGTAAGAAAATTTTTTGAAATGCTGAGCATTAAACCGATATTCTCACTATGTAAGTCGGGTACCCTCCACACCAAGCTACCCAGACCGATGTCAGGAGAGCATTTAAATAACTTTGTAACACTCACTCTGCCATATATAACACTAGAAAATATTAAAATGTATATTTCTCTAATTAAAACATGTCTGTATCATACAAAGACAGAAAGTTGAACCTCGGTATCTCAAACACTGATATCACAAATACCATGGACATTTCAAAGTGATTTGGAAGTCCAAACTAATTATTCCTTAAGTATATATTTTACCCTGAATCCTCAGATATCTTGAAGAATTTTTCTTGGGCCTATCCAGTTCAAGATTACAAGGTTTGACTGTAATTACAAGCATTTAAATGAGTGGATTTTAAGTAGGCCAATATCCTTGTACCTCTCCATTCCTTAAAAGCAATGAGCTTCCACCCCTTCAGGACCCCAGCTCCATTACGTTTAAGGAATGGAAAGGAAAGGTGTGTGTTTTTACCCTTAAATTTCCACATGAATGGCAGCTGGAAATGGTACCAAACAGCAAATGAACAAATCAATACATGTGCCGGTTACATGTAACTGTTTTCAAAAAACAGAAAATATCTTAAGTAAAATATGATCTATTAACAGACTTAATAGGATAACAGCATTACTTTTAGAAAAAATTGACTAATGAAGTAGAAAAATGAAATACACCTGTATATAATACAGAAACAACCTTTTAAATTTAAATGTTGAACAGTGTTGGCAAGTAAGAAACCTGAATTAAAGTTTACATGTAGAGCACATACATAAATTTTATTACACTGACTCAGAAAGAATAAGTTCATAGATGCATGGTGAATCTTTCCTTCAATTACTGGTATTTTGGTAAGAAAGAAAATACTTCAAATTCAACAAATGATCACAAATATTGCACAAGTACAGTTTATGTGTTTAGCAAACCAATAAATCAAAAAATGTACATATATTCTGTCATCATAAATGCTTAGGAATGTGTTTTGTTCCTTGTTTGTTATTAAAAAAAAACTTCATGAAATAGGTGACCACTGAAAATACATGTATATTTCATGCTCATAAATAAACATTTCATTATAAATCTTCAAGTTGCATGGAATGAAAAAAAAGAGCTTCTGGATCAAATATTGTGAGCTAACAAAATGCCAAAAATCAACAAAAATCCTTCATTGAATACAAAAACAGGTAATCGCTGTCATTGTCCAATTTTTGCAAAACTTTGTTCATCAATCCAAATAGATAAAATAAAAACAGAAAACATAATAATACCCTTTCTTCTTCTACATATCTTATCAAATGGATTAAAAAAAAAAACGAAACAATACTACCTTTGAACATTAAATTTGCATTAAATAAATTTCTCTTTACATTATATTTTATTTGCATAACATAATAAAATGACATTCAAATGATTGTTACAAGATTGTAAAGCATAAAAAAAAACTTTGTCATAAGATGATGATGATGTCACATTGCACTGTTCACACCCATACATGTACATTTAAAATTCTATTACTTTTGGCATCAATGACTGGTTCGAGTAAGTTTATATAAAAAGCATAAGCAAATACACATTATGATTTCCCTCGATATAAAAATAAATTGTGACAATGTGTCTTGAAAATATATAAATTTTCCTTGATAAAATTTACATTTCATTTTAGTTACCATTTTCACTTCAGTCTAAAGATTATTATGACAAAGAGAAAAAATAGTGAAAAAAATATGCTTTAGAAATACATGTACCCCATCCCCAGTTTTCTTGTTGAAATTCACAAACCAGCATGCCAAAAACTAGCTTTTCAACAAAATAAGCTTAGAATGACATAATAAACTGCAAGAAATGGCAATGCACTATATTCACTGATGGGGAAAAAAAGCTGTTTTTACTTAGCTACGTTGTAGCTATATGAGATGGTTTATGATCTGTCATCAGTCATTTCCAAGAACTGGGCATACACATCTCTTGTACACTCTCCTTTCTGGTTGAACACAAACTTGTAATAACTTCCATCAGCACAAACAACTGAAAGAGAGAATGTTTCTAAGTAAATCTACTTTTATTCTTCATCTGTAAAAAAAAAGTGTGTAACTAAAGCATCTGGAGGAACAGAATTTGCTGCTAAATTTTCTTTCGACATTTGTTTCAGAGCTGCATATTATATGTACTTGTACTTGCAAAACACAGTTTCAATTGATTTCCTTCCAGTTCTTATTTCCTACAAATTTGACTGTGTGTTGTAGACTTAGATATAGTTAACACTCTATCTATTCTGAAGTGATTTTTTTTATGGATGTAAAGAGTGAAATGACAGTGAGGTACATGTACTAAATGCACAAGTCAAAAAAAAAGAGCATAATTCTAGTAAAACTGTTAAAAAATTATCCAAATTCAGCTCGTCAAGAGTATTCAGTGAAGTACCTATGACAGAGTTTGGGTCTGCCCCAAAAGCACAGATACAGCGTGCGCCTCCTGGAACCTGGAACTTGGAGAAACTCCATGTAGAGCTGAAGTACTTGGGAAGAAAACTGGCAGAGCCTATCCTGTTAAATATAACAGCTATATCTAAGTGAAAATGTCTAAATATGTTTCAAAATTACAAGTTGTAACTCATAATATTAAACAGTAAAACTTGTATCATCTGGACACCTTGGTTCCAAAGAAATTGGACAGATTACAACATTCCGGATTAGACAACATTTCAAACTAACGGAATAACCTGAAAGGGACCTAAAGGTTACATCTAATTAGGCAAAATTTCGGAATACACAACATCCAAATTAGACAAGTTTCACTGTATACCCATGACTACAAGGTGTTCTGAAACTGTTGATTTTACAGGCTGGGATCCAACCTTCCAAATCACCACTTTAAATCAGTGAATATGCAGACAAAATGGGGACCATTTCTTTTATACAGTAAAACACAGTTACAGCAAATATGCTTATATGCTTAAAGAGAAGTATTTTTTTCCCTGTAGTTTTAAAATGTGCCATGAACTTGATGAAATATGTTTATAACAAATCAAAATTGCTTAACCCTGCCACTTCACTATAAGCGTGTTTTACTGAACATGTTTTCTATAAATTACTGGTAAGTACTGCATTTACACTTCTAAACAGGATCCAGGTTTTTTATTTTTTCAACCAATATATTTTTTCACATGCATCATAACACACTTTACAGCTAATACACATGTACTATCTTACCCAAGTTGCTTGTTCTTTTTTGGATCCTCTGTTGAAAAGATATGCACTGTTCCATGATCACTAGCTACACACAAGAGACTGGAGTCTTGATTGAAGTTAATACTGCAATAAGGGAAAATACTGGTATACCTTTTTTTGTGCACAGGAAAAAAATTTGATATCAAATCAAATTGGATGATAGTAGAATCATTATCATTTAAGGAGGCTCAATTTTTTTTTTTACTCTTTTCAAAGTTATCTTCACAATGAAATAACACTTTTATGAAATGACTTGCAAAGAGAATAACATGTACCTGTTAACAGTTATTGCACCACAAGATATGCTAAAATTATACGCATTTTAATTATAAATTAGATTTGTTTTCTAAAATCATTAGCTTTAAAACAAATTTTTGTATGAGTAAACAGAGGGATGTTAAACCTTAAATACCAGTCACTTTCTGATATAAATAAGACTTTTACCCAATAAGAATTGATTGCAAACATACCAGTAAATATGAGCACTGTTAGCACCTCTTCTTAGTTCATGTAACTGGAGTCCTGAATGAGTATCAAACACACGAATAAGAGTTCCCTGAAAATAAACAATAGCAATAATTGTTAAAGCAGAATACATCAATCTTTCACATTTAACTTAGGCTGCTTGTCATAAGGCAAGTACAAGTTTGGCAAACTGTAAGAAGTTTGAGCTAGTGAAAATGACTTCTTCCATAAGTAAACCCATATTTACGACTACAATGCTAAAAATATCATCATGATGTCATATAAAGAAAGGTTAACGATTACTGGTGTTTTCCTTTCTTAAACATTTTCAAAACATGGACATCAAATAACACTGAATGAATGAAGGAATTTTTTAAAGAATTTTTTTTTCATTTTACCTTCTCTGAGCTTGTTGCTAGCCTGGTCCCCTGAAGGTTCATGGCTATACAACTGAGGGGGGCCTCATGAGCTGGAATATCTGTTGCCGATTTTTCTGTGTTGGCCAAATCCACGATTTGGACATGGCCAGTTTTTCTCCCAGGAAAAGTCAGCAAGGAGTTGTTACTATTTGGGCACAATACACAAAGTCCTGAAGTTTATATTAACACACAGTTAAACCTAATTTAAAAAAAAAAATGCTTGCCCAAACAAGCATTGAGAAAAGAGAAGAATAAAATTCAATCCAAACCTTTAGGATTAGGACATGTCTCGAAGACATGAAGCTGTTGTGGATTCTGGGTAAATGTGTACACTTTGATTAATGTATCTAAGACCACCACAATCCTGTAGTCAACAAAGAACACAATTATTGAGACAATTTTGTAAAACAACGTCTATGTATGATATGAATCATTGAATAAATTCATCTTCTATGGTAAATTGAGTTTCCAGAGGAAACAATGAATTCAGATTCAATAAAGTTCTCCTTTACCTTTTCAGAACACATTTAAACTCATTTTTAAAGAGAGAGGGGCAATTACAATGAGAACAGGAAGTATTTGAAATTTACCCATATAAATTTAAAGTACATTTATCTATATGAAATCTTCATCCTACATCTATATAAGTGATTATTTACATTTGCAAATATTTTTCTTAGATGAACCTATAGAAGAGAAAATATGTTCAATTCTGTATGAACTTATTAGGGGGTCAGAGGTCATGGCGTGACCGAATCACACAGCGAGACGATATCTTGTCTACATATTTCTGTCACAGTGACACTGGTTTTGGAACTTCTGAACCGTCAAAGCGATGAAAAAGATAAAATTATTAACACATATATTTTTTTTTTCGTTCAACAAATGATCGTTAGATCTTTCTTCGGTGTGAAGAATGTTTCTAATTAGCCTAAAATCACGCTTACCTCTTTAACCCGAAATTCCTTTGAAGGTATGTAAACTGAAGACGATAGCACCGCTTTTGACTTTATATATAAAGAACTCGTACAATAATAGTAAGATAATTCCCAGTAGCGATCATTGTTTTTTCATTATGAACAGATATTTCCTGAACTGGACTGCTAAACATCAATGTAAGTATTCAAATGTTGGAGCGAGGCGAACTCTCAAGACCAAACAACTTCTAGGTCATTGCGCGTCACAACATAGCAATACGGCGGGCCGTTCGTGTAATAAATGCAGTCCTATTCAGAATATTCGTCTCAAATGTAAATAAAAGTAATAAACAACAATGTTAAAAAGTTCACTGGGAAATGAACTTGGTTGGTACGTGATCAAATCTTCTGAGAAGCCCTTCGGGCTTCACAGGATTTGATCACGTGACCAACCAAGTTCATTTCCCAGAGAACTTTTTAACATTGTTGTTTATTTCTTAAATAAAATTTGAAACTATGTTATATAAAACAACTTGACATGTTGTTCTTCTAACCTGTCACGTCTCAGGCGGACACTACGGACTTCTGTTGAAAACTCCAATTCTATCACAGGTTTCTTTTTCAAGTCATCCCATACCATCACTACAATAAGTACATATTAACTGGTATTCAAAGAAATGTTGAAGTTTGGAAGACAGGTCGCAGAGTCCTTGAATACTGGTATGTATAAAAAGAAAATTCTTATATGCAAAAGGACCACTCTGTAGACTTGCCAATGTGTATGCTTAGGAAAATTATATGAAGTTGATTATTCAGCACTGTATATACAATAAAACAAATTACATATACTTTGAACACATGTAGCAAACTTAAAAAATAAATGTGTTACTGTTATGAGCTTAAATACTTGTTGATTATGAAAAATTACTACAAAATAGTGTAATCTGACATTTTGATCACATAATGATAAGAATGTTTTAAATATTTGGATTCTAGATCAACTTTGTCCCTATATATTGTTTTCATGTGTGTGTAATATTTTCAAAAGATAACATTATACAAAGAAAGTGTTAAAATTACAATTTATGACTTTGAACATATTTATAACTGACTGTCAATAAACTGTATGATTTTAAAAAAAGAGTTAAGATGTATCTTTGCAATCTGATATAAATGATTCACTCACCCTTTGTAGGGGGGTATTTTGGATTTTTACCCCCACCAACCAAAGCCAAGTAATTGCACCTAAATAACATCTCAATGTGATGAATCCCACCATCAGCAAAATCTGTATGAAAATAATAAGCTTTTTTTCTATCATGTGTACTAAATTCCAGGTGTGAATTGTCTTAAATTTACTGGTACATTTGTCAACATTTCATAAAATGAACTAGAAAACTATGTCCAACCACACAGAATTGTACAATGGCTCAAGTTATTTTGTTTTGTCTTTAATGAAAAAAAGGAGGTGGTGTTGAACCTTGCCGCTCTTTTTCCTTCAGAGGGTCTGAATTGTACACTCGAAATCCTGTTTCCATTCCACAGGCAAAACATCCTGTAAATAAAATAATTTTATTTGCAGTTAAAAAAAATCACAAAATATGCAGTAATTTTATCTAAAAATATATTTTAAAAGCAATCCATTAACTTCCAAAAAGTTTATAGAGATGCAGCAAGTTCTGTTGAATGTCTATGGATGGAGGAAATCTGAGTTTAATTTACACACTGTTCAAAGAAATTTTGATGGAGAGCCCCTTGTGAAAAAAAATCTAAAACTTCCAATCTTCTTTGTGTGCATAGCAACATGGTGTCTAGATCAGAGCAAGGACTAACTTGAAAAGATTTACAAAAATACAAAACAAAAGAATGGAATCTCTGTGCTAATATACATATACTTTAAGATATGCATTGTACAATCAAATTTCATTATCTCAAACTTAAAAATGGGACTGAGAAAAAACCTTGAGAATCTTAGGGTTCGAAAAAAATGAGGTTAATATACATAAAGAAAATGTGGTTGCATCATCTCAAGCCATGGTCTGGAGTCCGCATATAGCTCTTTCCTACCCGTGGCTGCTTGTTCACAAAAAGTGTCATAATCTTGAATATTTATGCCTCAATGTTGTAACATCAATGTTCAACCAATGACAATATTTGTTTCCATCACAATTGAAATCAACAATTGACGTCAACAGTATAAAGAAATGTTTCGTATACTGTGATTGGGTATTGAAAGGTCACGTCAAATTTCATCATCCGACTATGCTTTACTCGCATTGGTCAATATTTAAATGAGCTGCAAATTATTCTCTTTTCATTCAACCATGGCCAGAATGGGAGAGGATCATACATTTGGGCCGTGGTTTGCGACGATGATGTGGTTGGGACTTCCAAACACCTCAACATATCCAAGGTATTCGGGATATCAACAACTGAGATAAAATTGAACTGTACAAATCAAAATAGAAAACATCAAAAGTTTTTCAGATTTTGTTGGTATTGACCAAGAATTATTTATGAAGTTTTGAATCTTAATCCTGAGGAATAGGGAGCCATTAATGTTGGGGGAAATTTAACTATAACACATTTTATGAGTCATAAAAACATGTGAAAATAAATGTCATGAGATGCAGTAAATGTAGTCTAAAGAAGTTTGCTGAAAAATTGTGAGACCATTTTTTTAGGAGTATGCAAAAGAAAATGATGAATCCATCTGTAACAGACAGTTGCCCAGTGATCAAGATTCAATGAAATAAGAGATCTATATATGATGACAGGTTTAGTTATGCTTTATTTGTAAGATGATAAATAATATTTATACAGCAATGTTGCTTGCAAGAATTTGATACAATATTTGCATTTGTATCTTTATCACATCTTTAAGAAATTAATAATTATTTATACATGTAGTACAAGGGAAACTGCTCATCCTAAAGGTTTCAACTTCGATTATTTCATAAAAATAAATAAATGTAACTGAAGTAATGGTACTGACATTTTTTAAAAAAGTTATAATCAGTGTCCACTCCAGTATTTATAAATGAAAAATATATCCATTAAACATTTTGAATCATAATTTAAAAAAAATGTGAGTCAGACTTTAATTTAAAAGCAATATCATAACACATTACAATTACCCACTGAGACACAGTTGGGTTATACTCTAAGCAAACTGATAAATCTTTTTATGTACTCTGCTTTTTATTGTTTAAGTTTGTGAATAACTTTTATATAAGTAGCATTTTATGAATTAAAATCCCATCTTCTTTATTGGATGCAGGAATAGTAAACTTTCCTCTTAATTTCCAATAAAAAAATTACTTCCAACTCTTCCATATCATAATTAAGTATATCATGAGTGTTTAAAGCTCTTCAAACTTTTGTAAACAAAAATCGACCAAGGTGCAATGATGGCGATATAATTACCTTGATCTTGGTTCCAGCCCGCATACAGCAAGCCATTACCGTATGAGTTACCAAGGGATAAATCCATTATACATATGTCCCAACTATCGATAAATATTTGCTTTCATTTTCATGTGGAATGTGACAACATTTTCAGCTACCGAACAACACACCCCCAAATAACACGACAAAACGTTTAAGGGATGTTGGAACAACCTGTATCGAATAGATGCTTGAGCTGATTCTGCTAAGTAACGAAAATTCATTTGAAATATATTTTAAATAGATAAAATATTAATTTCGAAACTTTTCATAAATTGAAAGTTGAGTATATGTCAAAAATTGTTGCTTTTATCTCAGGGTACAAATTAAAAAAAAACAAACTCCCTTTTGCAATCTATTATTTTTCTCACGGCTTTTCGTTATTTAGAAAAACCATTCAAAATGGCTTGCTTTAGAACAGGTGCACAGCTATGCAGACAATTTTTATTCAGTGGACAATCTTCGATAAAGTTATTTGCAGCTTCCTTATCTCATAGATGGATGTCGACAGGTAAATGTCATGCAGCAATCTTTAATTTATGTTGTCATTGCTCCTTATGAGGTAAATATCTATGTTACAGGTAGCGGCTCAAAGGTCGTTAGAATTCCGAATTTCCTTGAAAAAATTGTGCCATCCATTCCTTAGTTTTGTATAGTTGCATTGCATTTTCATCTTGATTATGACTCCTAAGCAGAGAGAACTTCATGACATTCTTTTTTGCCTGTCACATAATAGTCCTAGATTGGAATGGATTTCAACTGCAGTATCTTCTTTTCCATAATCTAAAGATGTTTTGAGATATCAGCTTTAGATCATTTCTTATGGTCAAAATCACTGGCATTGAGAAAGTGAAGGGTGCCATGGTTATAACTTTGAAATCATTCATCGAAATGAACTATAAATCTGCAGTAGGCAGCTAGTAGGTAATCTCAGTGAGATTCGTCGAGACTAAAAATTTGGGACAGGCGTCTCTTCCAAATCTCAGGAAATCTTGCCTTGACTTCAACCATTATGATTTCCTATAGAAATAAACCACAGGATGAAGTATTTGAAGCAGACTATTGCTGGAACTCTTTGGCATTGGAGGTTTAAACAATATGTCAGTGGTATGAAAAAATCAACAACTTAATTTTGGTTGGATTTAAACATTTTAAAGGTAAGAAACGAAAGTTTTATAGTGAAAGGAAGTTAAAAGGATGTCCAAAGCGAAAAGCTGAAGTGGGCAGGGAATTAATTTCAGCCTGTATTGATCAAAACAAGCGGTCGAAGTCCGGGCAAGATTTCCCTAGTCACTTTGTGTGGTACTGGTCTGAGATTCGGAAGAGACATCTGTCCCAAATTTCTAGTCTTGATGAATCTCGCTGAGATTAGCTAGTAGGTTGTTGTTGATGATTACATCTTGAATCAAAAATTGATCATAAAGGTCAAGGCTACTTGGTGATGAAATTTGAAAATTTTTGAAGGCTGTGAATTTGAAATCCTTGATCGGAGTGAATTCAACCTCAGTGTAATTGTTGATGACCTAAAAATATGTCATGACCTTGATAGAGTCATATCTCAAGGTCAAGGTGAAATAGTGATGGCCAGGTATAACTTGATAATTGGAGATACATCCCTTTGTGATGAAAAACAACATACTAGGTTGACTTTTTTCAATCAATTAATGTAATCACAATGCAGTGTACAATGCACAATTTCACTCAAATGAATGGAGAGTATAGACATTACTTTTCTATCTTTGTATGATAAAGTCTTACCAAGAAATGAGTGTATTAAGACTTGCCACTAGAATTCGCAATGCAAGTGTAAGGTATACTTCGTTCATTCTTTGAAATTGGTGCTATTTTTAGAAGTTGGAAAAATCCATGTAATGTGTATTGTATTTGAAGGACTGGTATGATCCAAAACAAATGAAAACTTTTTTGGCATGTTATTACTCTTTTTTACAGGAAAATATGAATATATCATAGTAGAAAAGAAAGGAGAGAAGAACAATGTTGGATTTATTCAACTTAATCGACCAAAAGCACTCAATGCACTTTGTGCAGGCCTCATGTCTGAGCTTGAACAAGCTGTGAAGGGTTTTGAAGCTGATAATGATGTTGGGGCTATTGTCTTGACAGGCAGTGAACGAGCTTTTGCAGGTTTGCTTATTTTTTACTATAATAATGGAGCAATTTAAAGTTTAATTTAAAAAAAAAATGTTTGAATCATTTAATTTGCAATATATGTGCTCTAGGCTAGCCTAGAAACAGATTAAGTAAAATACATAAATATTGTTGTCAATGCTTTGAAAATTCATATAACTTGCATTACTTGTATTCAAATTCGTAATTTAGCTGGAGCTGATATCAAGGAAATGCAGACAAAAGAGTTCTCAGAGGTTTGGAGAGGAAATTTCTTGAGTGAATGGGATGCCCTGTCAAGATGTTCGAAGCCAGTTATTGCAGCTGTTAATGGATTTGCTGTAAGTTAAAAGACCTTTGTAAGGGCAAGTTATGTTAAATCAGCTTTACTATATCGGAAGCAAATATTTGTCAATTTGATTTTAGGGAAACATGTTTTAGAAATCAAAGAAGACCAGTAATAAATACATTTTGCTTGGTTTTGTGACAATCAATGTAATAAAAGATGTTATGATTTAGGAATATTTTAACTAAAAATATCAAGAGTCCCTCTTACCCTATTTTAAAATTACATTTTATTGACAATTTCATTTTTTTTTATGCAGTTAGGTGGTGGTTGTGAGGTAGCCATGATGTGTGATATCATCTATGCCGGTGACAAGGCACAATTTGGACAACCAGAAATCACACTGGGCACAATACCAGGTATATTCAGTCATATTCTGCTGTTTTTTTTCTCTCTCTCATACATACACATTGTACAAATCCATTAGATTTCTTCTGTATAATTAGAACGTCATTCATTTGTGTGAATCAACATGATTTCTAATTTATCATGTATGTCAATTTCAAATATTAGTTTTTAAGCAGCTTAAAACCGTGTTATGTAACTGTCTAATAAGGGTCTGTCATCTTAATCATAGTAATAAGGAAACGGATTAGTATAAGTTTGCAAACTTGTTTCCGAATCCTTTAGGATTTTTTTTGTACTACTTGCCTGTATTTTCTGCTTGTCATTTTCAAATAAAATATGGTTTAAACTAATACCAGGTAGGCTGAATAAGATTAAAGCAAATCCCTTGGTTCCAATAGGCTCTGATAATTTTCATGTCGAATAAAGTATTAAATGAGAAATGTTTTAAATACTAAAGGTTACTGAATATTTAGATGTTCAAATGTATATCTAAGCATATGATCAACAGGAAAAAAGTTTTCAGCCTTAATTACTCATTGAAGACCTTTGCTCTTCTGGTCTCTGATCAGAAGAGCTTATGAGATGTTAATGTGTAAATTAAAATCCTTCTTGACAACAGTTGATATATGTCTCATGACAGGCCATTGTCTGCAGAATTTTCAAGAATGGTCCTAACCTATCCGCAAAAATTGCACATAAATTACCTGATGTAAGGTACAATACTGTATGTGTTTAAAAAAGCAGGCTTCATATTTTAATGGCTTTGGATCAGACAACAATGTACTAATTCATGAATACCGTTAATAAATTTTTATGCCCCGCCATGAATATG